AGCCAGAACTCGCATTTGGAGAACTTGGCGTATAACTTCTCTCGTCTGAGGGTTTCAAGAACCACACTCAGATGCTCCTCATGCTCCTCCTGACTCTTGGAGTAGATAAGGATATCGTCTCTAAAGACAATAACGAACTGATCGAGGTATGGATGAAAGATACGGTTCATGAGATCCATGAACACTGCTGGCGCATTGCTGAGACCGAAAGGCATGACTACAAACTCGTAATGGCCGTAACGAGTCCTGAAAGCGGTCTTAGCGATGTCTGACTCCTTAATCTTCAGCTGGTGGTAGCCTGACCGTAAATCGATCTTCGAAAATACACAGGCTCCCCTCAACTGGTCGAATAAGTCGTCGATCCTGGGAAGCGGGTACTTATTCTTGATCGTCAACCGGTTAAGATCCCGGTAGTCGACACACATGCGCATAGATCCGTCCTTCTTCTTAACAAAGAGAACGGGTGCTCCCCATGGTGACACGCTCGGTCGGATGAAACCGAGTCATAACAGCTCCTGAATCTGAGTCTTAAGCTCCTGTAACTCTTTAGGCGCCATGCGATATGGGGCTTTAGATACTGGACCGGCCCCTGGGATAAGATCAATGGAAAACTCCACCTGACGGTTGGGCGGTCCTCCTGGCAGCTCGTCTGGAAAGACCTCGACAAACTCGCGAACGATAAGAACATCATGAGGTGTCCGCGCTTTCTGAAAATCCTCAACAAGGCTTACCAGGTAACCCTGGCAGTTGCCTCGTCGTAATAACTTAGTGGCTTTCGCCATCGATATAACATGAGGCAGTGAACGGTTCCTGGAGCCGAAGAAAGTAATCGACTCGTCTCCCGGAAGATAGAGAGTGATCTCCCGGTCATGACATCTGATGTCAGCATGATAGAAAGAAAGCCAATCCATCCCGAGAATAAGATCGAAATCCTTCATCTCGAGAACGAACGCGTCGGCAGTCAATATTCGACCACCGATAGAAAGGCTAAGATCTGTAGCTTTGGCTGAGGTCACTATCTTTCGTCCCGAGGCTAAACTCACCTCGAGAGGATCGACAGTGGTAATTGCATGAACTCCGATGGCGTCGAGACACCGTCGTGAAATAAAGGTGTGCGTTGCTCCGGTATCGAATAACGCAAATACAGGAATGTTATTGAGAACAACCATCCCGGACATGGTACCTGGTTGCTGTGCTGCCTCCGCCTGATCGACCGCGTAGACCCTGGCCTGCTGCCTGCCCCTCTGCTGCTGCTGCTGAGGCGGTCTATGTGCCTGCTGTCGTGGCTGCTGCTGCTGCGGTGGCTGCTGAGGCTGCTGCTGGAGCTTCTTCGGGCAACGACTCGCGAAGTGTCCCGGCTCCTGGCAAAAGTAACAGATGTCCTGTCCAGCACGACACTCTCCCCTGTGAAGTCGACCACAAGTCGGGCATGGTGGAATCTGTCTCTGTCGGGTCCTACGGTCAGTCTGTGCACCCTTTGCCTTCCTCTTTTTATCCTTTGCTGGCTGAGGAGCTGGTAGAGCTGGTGGAGCTGCAAATGGCTGCGCTGGGGCAGATGGCTGAGCACGATCACGAACGGCCTTCCTCCTGATGCTAGCGTCAACCTCCTGGGCGATAGAGACTGCTCGTGCATACGTCTGTGTCCCGTGTCCCACAATGTTATGACGGACTGCTGGGTAAAGTCCGTCAATGAACCGCTGAGCTCTTTGGGCCTCCGTGCGAACAAGATCCGGTGCGAAACCTGCAAGTCTGGTGAACTCACGCTCGTACTCATCGACAGTACGAGTGCCCTGCTGAAGCGCTAAGAACTGACGCTCCATCTCTGCGCGATAGTAAGAAGGGTAGTACTTGTCACAGACTAGATCCTTGAACATGTCCCACGTACAACCCGCCTTTTCACCAGGACGCATGCTCCAGTAGGCGTTCCACCAGAGCCTCGCGTCGCCAGTGAGCTGAAGCTGAGCGCAAACTACGCGATACCTATCAGGGCATTCCATAACCTTAAAGATGAACTCCAACCCCTGAATCCATTCATCAACGATACGGGGGTCGCCCTGAC